GTGTCTGTGTCCCCATGTCTTAAAGTGTCCCCTATTTTCCCATTGTCCCCATGTGTCCCAGCCAGAGTCCCCTAGTCTCCCAGTGTCACTGGTGTCTCCGTGTCCCTAGGTCTCCCCGTGTCCCCAGGTCTCCCCGTCTTCCTAATGTCCTAGTGACATGGGGACCCTGGGATACATGGGGACACAGGGAGACATGGGGAATTGAGACACTGTGATACATAGGAGCACTGGGAGATCTGGGGACAGGACACTAGGGGACACTGGGAGACATGGGGCACTGATACATGGGAACACTGAGACCTGGAGTAATCGACACATGGGGGCACTGAGTCATGAGGGCACTGGGAGACACGGGGGCACTGGGAGGAATCCATCTATACAGCAGAATCAAACTAAGTAGTTTTTTGGTGATTTTACAGCATTTTCTCTTATGTCACTCCTTGTGATTTACATCATGTGATGTCACCCATACATATTTAATTATGCAAATTGTTTTTCCAAGAAAGGTGGCAACCCTAACTACTTTTCACATACTCTTACTTAAGTATGGAAACTTAAGTGGGATGTATGGGAACAAAACTTGTGTGGACTGGCTGACAATGAATATAGTTAAAGGGACACTATAGTCACCAGAACAACTACAGCTTATTGAATTTGTTCTGGTGAGTAGAATCATTACTGTCAGGCTTTTTGCTGTAAACATTGTCTTTTCAGAGAAAATGCAGTCTTTACATTACATCCTAGTGATAACTTCACTGGCCACTCCTTAGATGACTGTTAGAGATCCTTCCTGGGTCATGGCTGCCTAAAATGCATCCAAACATTCAGTGTCTCCTCCCTCTGCATGCAGACACTGAACTTTCCTCATAGAGATTCATTAATTAAATTCATCTATATAAGGAGATGCTGATTGGCCAGGGCTGTGTTTGAATCATGCTGGCTCTGACCCTGATCTGCCTCTTTGTCAGTCTCAGCCAATCCTATGGGGAAGCACTGTGATTGGATCAGGCCACCACTTCTAATGATGTCAGCAGACTGCTTGTTTTTATGAGTCTAACAGCATGCAGAGTTACAGCTTCAGGCTTGAATATAGTAAGATTTTGCTATATGTATGGAGGCATGAGGGACCCAGGGGGGCTAGATGGTGGTGTTAACACTATAGGGTCATGAATTCATGTTTGTGTTCCTGACCCTATAGTGATTCTTTAAGGTAATGCTGACTTTGGTCTCTCTAACACTGTGGCATGTTCCCTTTCTTCTACACTCACTACATACAGCCTTTCTCTGTCCCAGACCATATACCAGGAGCTTCTGCCTGCTAGTAAGAAAGTAAGGAGACAAGTGGACCAGCGAGTGCTAGGGGACAGTCCTTAGAAAGCGTTGAGTGAGCGCATCATTAGATGCATTTATGCCAAGCTCAGGGTGCTGTCTGTATAGTACGCCCTTAGTTGGCCAGCTGCATGATTGGCAGGCAGCCTGACATGCATTCATGCCAGGCTGGCCTTCTAATTCTTTGAGCAGACATGTCCTCTTTTTGGGCATGTTTGCCCCTTTTGGCAGGTTATGTGATTTGTGTCAGTGGCACACTCTTTTACCGTGCCCATTGACTTCTTGCTTGACTGGACACTGCTGTTAGGGGTTATGTATTTACTTGAAAGCTGAAAACATAAATTAAAGAGAGATTAGCCTAGGGTATGTGTTTTCGTATAGCTGCTGTTTTCTCTCTCTCCAGCACCATCTCCATCAGATACATGATGCTTGGGAGTGTTTTACTGTTTTTGGTGGATATGATTCTGTAATTAGGCCCGTCATAATTGTCAGCACCAGGCCCACTGGGCTCTTAATCTGGCCCTGACTCCTCTGCAGAGACCATAACGTCACCATTGTCAATAGCATTTGCCTTTTAACCAGGGAGTAAAATCCCTCTTTCAAGGGACAGCTAAATTCACTCCCTTTTTACAGATAGCAGTTTCTTATGAGAGACAGTAGTGGCGTGCGGTCTCCAGTTCTCAAGGGACAGCAGCCCATCTCAGAGACATTAGCATGTTTTTTGTTTTTTTCTGGTCACAGTGGTCGTGTTCAGAGACGGAAGAATCCACAGTTGTCTGCTGTATATCCTTCTATCTAGTGATAGCAGTGCTTCGCCTTTCCAGGGATAGTAACCGCCTTCCTCTCAAAAGAAATTAGACATGTGCATCACAAAAAAACATTTGTAGCGTCTGTACTACAGAAATAAAAATAAAAAAATTATGGACAGTCAAATTTCAGGTCAAATTTCAGGTCAAATTTCAGGTAAATCAGATGTCCTCCCGTTTCCTGAAACTAAATCTCTCTAAAACTGAGCTCTTTGTCTTTCCTCCTCCTTTCACTCTCCCTTCAAGTCAGTGGTATACACATTAGTCCATCCTTGCAAGCGCGCTGTCTTGGTGTCAGACTTGATTCTGGCCTCACATTTGAGCCTCACATCAAGCATGTTACCAAGTCCTGTAGATTCCCTCTTAAAAACATAGCCCACATTCGCCACTTTCTTACGCAAGATGCTACTAAGGAGCTTGTCCATGCTCTACTTATTTCCTGCATGGATTACTGTAACCCTCTCCTAATTGGTCTTCCCAAAAACCGTATTGCCCCACTGCAGTCTGTAATGAATGCTGCCGCCAGACTGATTTTCCTCTCTAATCGGTCCTCTCACAACTCACCCCTCTGTCAGTCCTTACATTGGCTCCCTGTATCCTATAGGAGTTAATTCAAAGTGCTAACCCATACCTACAAAGCATCGACCAATTCTAGCCCTCTTTTATCTCATCACAGATCCATAGGTATGCCCCTTCTCGGTCTCTCTGCTCTGCCTGTTACCCTTCTCCAGTCCGGTGCTCGCACGCATTCGGCCAACTCACACTTGCAGGACTTCTCGCGGGCGGCTCCCTTCCTATGGAGTAGCCAGCCTACTTCCATCAGACTCTGGCCTACAATTCAATTGTTTAACCCCTTAACGACCGATGACGGTTCAGGACCGTCATCGGAAAAATCCCCTTGGGGACCGATGACGGTCTGGGGCTACTTACCTGATCGCCGTCGGTCGCCCGGCGGCGATCAGCGCTCCTCCCAGTATTTTTTTTTTTACACTGATTGCTTTCTTTTTTAATTTTCTTTTTTATTTTTCACTTGCAGGGAGACTGCCTGTCAGCACAGACAGTCTCTCCTCGGCAGATCACGTGGCCGCAATAGGTGCCTGTGTATCTGCCTGCAGGGGGACTGTCTGTGCTGACAGGCAGACTCCCTACAAGTGAAAAATAAAAAATAAAGTTAAAAAAGAAAGCAATCAGTGTAAAAAAAAATAATTATATATATATATATATGATAAATATACATGCATTATATCTATATATAATATATGTATATATATCATATATATAATGCCATACTAAGTGTATTTTTATATTTATATATATGTATATTAATATAAAAATACACTTTTAATTTAAATTACACACGTATATATACAATATATATAGTACCTATATATTGTATATATATATTATTATAAATTATAAATAATATGTAAATAAAAATAAATAACAAAAAGTAAAAATAATTTTTAATAATTAAAAAAACTATATATATATATATATATATATATATACATATATATATATATATATATGTAATTTTATTCTAACAGTATTTTGATATTAATATATATATATTTATATCAAAATACACTTAGAATGTAATGATATATATATCTATGTATAAATAAATAAATAAAAATAATACGAAATATACATATGTCCATATACATAATTACATAAATAATTTCATAAATATACACGTAGATGTCAAATATATAAATATGTATATATATTAAAATTCTACGTGAGTATTTATGTAATATTTTTACCTAATTAAGTAATTTTAATGATTGCAATTTGAGGGACCTGCCTGCCAACCCAGGCCGAAAGTCCAGAGAATTTAATTTGCTGGCATTGTGTTTAACCCTGTAACTTTCTATGACACCCTAAAACCTGTACATGGGGGGGACTGTTTTACTCGGGAGACTTCGCTGAACACAAATATTAGTGTTTCAAAACAGTAAAACATATCACAGCGATGATATTGTCAGTGAAAGTGAAGTTTTTTGCATTTTTCACTAATATTTGTGTTCAGCGAAGTCTCCTGAGTATAACAGTACCCCACATGTAGAGGTTTTATAGTGTTTGTTAAAGTTACAGGATCAAATATAAGGCTTGATTTTACTTTTTCTTTTTTGTTTATTGAAATTTGTCAGATTGGTTAGGTTGCCTTTGAGAGCATATGGTAGCCAGGAATGAGAATTAGCCCCATGATGGCATACCATTTGCAAAAGAAGACAACCCAAGGTATTGCAAATGGGATATGTTCAGCCTTTTTTAGTAGCCACTTAGTCACAAACACTGGCCAAAGTTAGCATTTTTTTGCATTTTTAACACACAAACAAATATAAATGCTAACTTTGGCCAGTGTTTGTGACTAGGTTTTTGAATACCCTGGGTTGTCTAATTTAAAAAGAATATGTACATGTGAGGTGTGATTCGGGGATTTATGATAGATAACGGTGTTACAATGTCACTACTGATAAATTTTAAATATATATATATTAAAACAGCAATTTCCTACTTGTATTTATAGGCCTATAACTTGCAAAAAAAAAGCAATAAAGCATGTAAACACTGGGTGTTTTTAAACTCGGTACAAAATTTTGAATCTATTTAGCAGTTTTTTTCATTAGCTTTTGTAGATAAGTAAAAGATTTTTCAAAAAAAGTGTTTTATTTTCAATTTTTCACCATATTTTATTATTTTTTTAAATAAAATATATGACATGATATAAATAATGGTATGTAAAGAAAGCCCTTCTTCTCCTGAAAAAAACAACATATAACTTGTATGGGAACCGTAAATGAGAAAGAGGAAAATTACAGCTAAACACAAACACCACAAAAGTGTCAAAACTGCTCTGGTCCTTAACGTACAACATCTCAAAAACAGGCCGGTCCTTAAGGGGTTAAGAAGTGCCTTAAAACCATCTCTTTAGGAAAGCTTATGGCCTCCGAGAGTAACCTCTACCTTACATACCTGTCTCTTGATCTCTCCTAAAGGGCAGCGCTTTACTCTCTCCTCCAGCTCTGCTTCACTCCCACCTAATTTGATTGTTATTTCCTGTCCTAATGTGTTTTACACCCCACCTCCTATAGACTGTAAGCTCGTTTGAGCAGGGTCCTCTTCAACCTATCGTTCCTGTAAGATTTCTTGTAATTGTCCTATTTATAGTTAAATCCCCCTCTCATAATATTGTAAAGCGCTATGGAATCTGTTGGCGCTATATAAATGGCAATAATAATAATAATAACTAACATAGAAACATAGAATGTGACGGCAGATAAGAACCATTCGGCCCATCTAGTCTGCCCAATTTTCTAAATACTTTCATTAGTCCCTAGCCTTATCTTATAGTTAGGATAGCCTTATGCCTATCCCACGCATGCTTAAACTCCTTTACTGTGTTAACCACTACCACATCAGCTGGAAGGCTATTCCATGCATCCACTACCCTCTCAGTAAAGTAATACTTCCTGATATTATTTTTAAACCTTTTTCCCTCTAATTTAATGTCCTCTTGTTGTGGTAGTTTTTCTTCTTTTAAATATAGTCTCCTCCTTTACTGTGTTGATTCCCTTTATATATTTAAATGTTTCTATCATATCCCCCCTGTCTCGTCTTTCCTCCAAGCTATACATGTTAAGATCCTTTAACCTTTCCTGGTAAGTTTTATCCCGCAATCCATGAACCAGTTTAGTAGCCCTTCTCTGAACCCTCTCTAAGGTATCAATATCCTTCTGAAGATACGGTCTCCAGTACTGTGTACAATACTCCAAGTGAGGTCTCACCAGTGTTCTGTACAATGGCATGAGCACTTCCCTCTTTCTACTGCTAATACCTCTCCCTATACAACCAAGCATTCTGCTAGCATTTCCTGCTGCTCTATTACATTGTCTGCCTACCTTTAAGTCATCAGAAATAATCACCCCTAAATCCCTTTCCTCATATGTTGAGGTTAGGACTCTATCAAATATTCTGTACTCTGCCCTTGGGTTTTTACGTCCAAGATGCATTATCTTGCACTTATCCACATTAAATGTCAGTTGCCACAATTCTGACCATTTTTCTAGTTTACCTAAATCATTTGTCATTTGGCTTATCCCTCCTGGAACATCAACCCTGTTACATATCTTAGTATCATCAGCAAAAGACATACCTTACCATCAAGACCTTCTGCAATATCACTAATAAAAATATTAAAGAGAATGGGTCCAAGTACAGATCCCTGAGGTACCCCACTGGTGACAAGTCCAAGCTTCGAATATATTCCATTAATTACAACCCTCTGTTGCCTGTCACTCAGCCACTGCCTTACCCATTCAACAATATTTGAATCCAAACTTAAAGATTGCAGTTTATTGATAAGCCTTCTATGTGCAACAGTGTCAAAAGCCTTACTGAAATCTAGGTAAGCAATGTCTACTGCACCACCCTGATCTATAATTTTAGGTACCCAATCAAAAAAATCAATAAGATTAGTTTGGCATGATCTCCCTGAAGTAAACCCATGTTGTCTCTGATCTTGAAATCCATGTGTTTTAGATGTTCATCAATCCTATCCTTTAACATGGTTTCCATCACTTTCCCCACTACTGAAGTAAGGCTTACTGGCCTATAGTTGCCGACTCCTCCCTATTACCTTTCTTGTAAATGGGCACAACATTCGCTAACTTCCAATCTTCTGGGACTACTCCTGTTAACAATGATTGGTTAAATAAATCTGTTAATGGTTTTGCTAGTACACCACTAAGCTCTTTTAATAGCTTTGGGTGTATTCCATCAGGTCCCATTGGCTTATTTGTCTTTACTTTTGACAGTTGAAATAGAACCTCTTCCTCTGTAAACTCACGTGTAATAAATGACTCATTTATCCTTTTTCTCAACTGAGGTCCCTTTCCTTCATTTTCTTCTGTAAATACAGAACAAAATATTCATTGAGGCAGTCAGCCTGACCTTTATCCTCTTCTACATACCTTCCTTCTTTTGTTTTTAATCTAACTAATCCTTGTTTTACTTTCCTTTTCTCATTTATGTATCTAAAAAATGCTCTGTCCCCTCTTTTTTACTGACTGTGCTATTTTCTCTTCTGTGTGTGATTTGGAAGCTCTTATAACTTGCTTAGCCTCTTTCTGCCTAATCTTATAGATCATTTTGTCTTCCTCACTCTGGGTTTTAAAAGGCATGAAATTGGGCCAATCAGTATACTGCAAACTATATACATAATATAAATATAAATGTTAGGTGTATATTTTGTAGTACAATGATTGGCGCATTTTCCCACCATTTTGTTCCGGTTTTGAAATGGTAACCAATAAAGCGAAAAAGTGGAGGAGCAATAAAAAACAATAAATATATAAAAATCTCAATTTATATATTTATCAAATACATAATATTTTTATTGCTCCTCCTCTTTTTCTTTCTATTGGTCACTTCTTACTTGATCTGTAAATAAAATAAACTTTAAGTGACTGTTCCCTAACTTTTTTTCCCATCAATCATTTTTTTTTTTTTTGCGGCAAGGACGGAATTCAAAACGACAAATCAAAACGAACATGCTCGGCCATTGTGCTTTGTCTGGTTTATGATTCAGCTACATTTCTCTCAGTTCGGGAATTCGAACAATCACCCGAACGTCCCAAATTCTGACAAATTGCAATTAGTAACAAAATAAATCTCAGTGTATTATAGACACAACAGCATATTATCCTCATTAGTTTCTGAATGCCAAGGACTGCATTTTCCCCTTCTTTCTCTTGAGGCCCCACTTTCAGAGGATCCACCAGGGAGACGGAAGGTTTTTGTTCTATTGACAGCAGATAGGGTCAAAACGTTGCTGCTATTTTTTGTTATCCTGGAGTGCCCGAACCATTATTTATTTCACATATCAGGAATGGAATTTGATGTCTTCCCCTATCTCAAGGGACAACAGCCGTGTCTACATTGACAGCAACTTCTTGTCATGATTCTTGGAATATCAAGGTGTCATTCTGCTCCCTACTGTACTGTTAGACGGTGTGCAACGTTCCTGCATCAAGTCTGACGCACAGCATCATCCTCCTAGAGTTTTTATAGTAGTGAACCATCCCTGTGCCTCATAAAGTACTAGGCATCAATTCTGTGCCCATAATGATGTACTCTTTCACTTCAGTTCTCTTGGTGACGCTGTGCATCATTCTGCTGTCTATTGTGATGCGGATCGTTTAACAAATAATGGCTCTTATTGTAGAATATTGTTATTACACTTATACTGCCTTAAGTTATGTAATGTTTTGAAGTCGAAAGACGCTGCGTCAAAATCGCAACTTCAACTGCGCAAGTTCTGGAGTTACAGGTATGATGTGGACCAAAATAATTCAACCTTTTGGTATATATACGTCCTGATTTTCTAGGGTTCCTTGCCCTATTGTGGTTCATGTATACCAGAGAGTGCCTTCCTATTGTCTTTTGATTCTTTGGTTACTGACTACGGCTTGTTTGACTTCTCTTGACCACTGGAATCCTAACCTCGACTTGTACATCGATATTTTTTTTTGTCAATGCCTTTTTAATTGATATTTCAGAATAGAAGTGCAAAGAATGTAAACAGATAGGTACGTTAAAGACATCTTGTACCTCGATATCGTGTATTTCTGTGCTCCTTGACCCCTGGCCTGTCCTCTGTTTATCTGTTTACTAGTGCTAGCCCTTTCTCAGGGCCGGTACGTATGTCTGTCGTGTCTCTGTCTGGGTTTGTGTGTTACGGTTAGGCTAGTCTTGACATTTCTACCCTACTGCATATACAGAAGCCTTTACAACTATCCAGGTATATGGGCTTTGTCTTTCTAAATGTTCTATATGTAACCAGGTGGCTCACCTGAGACTCTGACTTTGCTCCGCACATTTAAAGTAACCCCACCCTCACAAGTAACTCCACCCCCTGTGTTCATGCAAGTAACCCCGCCACATTTTGGAATTTAGCTTTCCCTTCCTCCCTTTATGCTCCTCAGAGAAAGCAAATACACCAGGAGCAACAACCTTCCCTTTACAGGGACAGTAATGTCTCCTAATATCCATAGACACCAATTCCTTATTTTGTGGCCATTAGCCTTTCAGGAACAGCAGCATTAATACCGCCTGTCAGGGGCTGCAGCATCTCCCTATGTCTATTGACAGCAGTCTCTCCCAATGTCTAGTGACAGCAGTCTCTTCCCATGTCTATGGACAGCAGTCTCTCCCAATGTCTATTGACAGCAGTCTCTCCCAATGTCTAGTGACAGCAGTCTCTTCCCATGTCTATGGACAGCAGTCTCTCCCAATGTCTATTGACAGCAGTCTCTCCCAATGTCTAGTGAAAGCAGTCTCTTCCCATGTCTATGGACAGCAGTCTCTCCCAATGTCTATTGACAGCAGTCTCTCCCAATGTCTAGTGACAGCAGTCTCTTTCCATGTCTATGGACAGCAGTCTCTTCCCATGTCTATGGACAGCAGTCTCTCCCAATGTCTAGTGACAGCAGTCTTTTCCCATGTCTATGGACAGCAGTCTCGCCCCATGTCTAAGAGGGAGAGACTACAAATAACAATCTCTCCCCATGTCTAGTGACAGCAGTCTCTCCCCATGTCTAGTGACAGCAGTCTCTCCCCATGTCTATGGACAGCAGCCTCTCCCAATGTCTAGTGACAGCAGTCTCTTCCCATGTCTATGGACAGCAGTCTCTCCCCATGTCTATGGACAGCAGTCTCTCCCCATGTCTAAGAGGGAGAGACTACAAATAATCTCTCCCCATGTCTAGTGATAGCAATCTCTCCCCATGTCTAGTGACAGCAGTCTCTCCCCATGTCTATGGACAGCAGTCTCTCCCAATGTCTAGTGACAGCAGTCTCTCCCCATGTCTAAGAGGGAGATCCTACAAATATTCTCTCCCCATGTCTAGTGATAGCAATCTCTCCCCATGTCTAGTGACAGCAGTCTCTCCATCTATAAACAGAAGATTCTCCCAATGTTGTAACAGCAGTCTCTCCCCATGTCTAGTGACAGCAGTTTCTCCCAATGTTAAGTGACAGCAGTCTCTCCCCATGTCTATGGACATCAGTCTCTCCCCATGTCTATTGACAGCAGTCTCTCCCCATGTCTAGTGACAGAAGTCTCTTCCCATGTCTAGAGATAGCAGTCTCTCCCAATGTCTTTGAACAGAAGTCTCTTCCCATGTCTAGAGATAGCAGTCTCTCCCAATGTCTTTGAACGGCAGTATCTCCCCATGGATAGCAGTCTCTCCCAATGTGTAGTGACAGCAGTCTCTCCCAATGTTTAGGGATAGCAGTCTCTCCCTATGACTATGGACAGTAGTCTCTCCCAATGTTTAGGGATAGCAGTCTCTCCCCATGTCTACGGACAGCAGTCTCTGCCTCTCCCAATGTTTAGTGACAGCAGTCTCTCCCCATGTCTATGGACAGCAGTCTCTCCCAATGTTTAGTGACAGCAGTCTCTCCCCATGTCTATGGACAGCAGTCTCTCCCAATGTCTAGTGAGTCTCTCCCCATGTCTATGGACAGCAGTCTCTCCCAATATCTATGGACAGCAGTCTCTCCCAATGTCTAGTGACAGCAGTCTCTCCCAATGTCTATGGACAGCAGTCTCTCCCAATGTCTATGGACAGCAGTCTCTCCCAATGTCTAGTGACAGCAGTCTCTCCCCATGTCTAGTGACAGCAGTCTCTCCCCATGTTTAGTGACAGCAGTCTCTCCCCATGTCTATGGACAGCAGTCTCTCCCAATGTTTAGTGACAGCAGTCTCTCCCCATGTCTATAGACAGCAGTCTCCCCCCGCCTGATGCTCCAGACACACTGCTTCCAGGTCTCCCCCCCGCACCCATTGTTCAAAGCCCGGGTATTCAGCATCCCAAAACTCCACTCAGTGCAATTCTCATGGCCGGCAGGCAGGAATAACCTCTCCCTGAGCCCCCCCTCCCTATGCTGAGTGTAGTTGTAGTCCTGCCCCCTTACACCATGTCCTGCCCCTCTCCGTGTGTCTCTATCACCGTGCACTTGTTCCTCCTCCTCCAGTGCCTTCCGTGTGCTGCTGCAGCCCCTCCTGCCCTGCCCGGAGCACCGAGCCACGGAGAGAGCCCTGCACTACCGGGGATACAGCACAGGTACCCCCTACCACCCCCAGCCAGAGCCCTGCACTCACTGTTACCCCCAGCCTTCCCCAGATAGACCCCTGCACTCACTGTTACCCCACTGCCGTTACCAGATAGACCCCTGCACTTACTGTTACCCTCTGCCATTTCTTGCTGGTACCCCCTGCCTTCCCCAGGCAGAGCCCTCCACTCACTGTTACCCCCTGCTTTATCCAAGCAGAGCCCTCCACTCACTGTTACCCCCTGCTTTATCCAGGCAGAGCCCTCCACTCACTGTTACCCCCTGCTTTATCCAGGCAGAGCCCTCCACTCACTGTTACCCCCTGCTTTATCCAGGCAGAGCCCTCCACTCACTGTTACCCCCTGCTTTATCCAGGCAGAGCCCTCCACTCACTGTTACCCCCTGCCATCTCTCCCTGGTAACCCCTGCATTTCCCAAGCAAAGCCTTGCACGCCGGGTGTTAGAGTCCAGTTACCCCCTGCCATCTCCTGCTGCTGGCCCCCTTTCCCCCAGGAGCCCAGCCTGCTATGTGCCCAGGAGAAGAGCTCTGAGTGAAGAACATGCCGGGTTGGAAGAAGAATATCCCCATCTGCCTGCAGGCTGAGCAGGAGCGAGGTGAGAGTGCATGAAGGGGAGGGTAATAACTCGACTCCAGCGATCCCCTCTCAAACCACTGCCTGCTTCCTGAGAGGAGGAATGACCACTCCCAGCACTCTCAGTCCCACATGGACAAAAGAGTCTGAGTTTGGAAACACTCACTGAGTTTCAGCTAAGTCTATAAATCTCCTTTCATTGTGGACTAGAAATGAATTGATCCAATGAATGGGTTTGCTTTCAATGAGTGAGGCTTGGCAAGTTATTCTAGCTGTCCATGTTAGTGCAGTACTGGGCATTTAATTCTATGTATATAACATTAATGGATAGTAAGTCAATTCCTCTGTGTCTGAATTCACCATGTGACCTGATCAATGGTCAAATCAGTATACTAACACACTGAAATATTTATTGCTGCAGCCATAAGGACCAGTTCATTGAATGTTTACTTGCCAATTGTCAATCTTGTGATACTATCTTTTAATGATCTGCTGGTTTATTCTTAGAAAATAATGGACATATTATCTTACTTTTTCTTTTATAAACTTATATTATTCTTTAATGATGCTTAAAACATAGGTGAATTTATTGTTTAATAAATAGCCTCTATATTTTTTATCATCTATAAAACACTACGTTTAGCCTAGTGCTTTAATTATTTGGCATTAAGGAGTTGCATTGTGTGCATTTAATTTTTTTATTTCCTATAAAAAATTTTTTTAATGAAACTATTTACAAAGACAGATTTCAACTCAATATTTAACCTTTGGTAAAAAATAAATTAAAAAAATAGACATTTTTATTCTAATGTATTTCATTGTCATTCATTCTTTGATTCTGACACTTTCCAGTGCAAGTTTAATTTCCTTTTTACAGACAGCTTCACTGTCTGACCTCCACTTTAATGATTTATGTGAATGGAGACTATTCTCAATAGTTGTGAATTGTTGCTGTCATATTGTATTTTGCATGCCTTGCTCAGGTTTGGTTGAGTAAGTGGTCTTTACACGGATTTCCAATCTAGTAACTCATGTTTTGAACTACCCTTCCTAAGAAACTCAGGCAGTCTTGATGATGGGTGAATTTGCCAAGTTTTCCGTCACTGATTTTAAATGATGAGAACTGTGACTTGCAATGTGATGGCCACTGTAATGTACTTATGTGACCAGATAGATCAGTTGTCTCTTGGGTGAAGTTCAATCCAGGACACTACAATTGAGTACTTCAATGCTTGCTGCAAAACAAAAATTGACTTTCTTTACTGTTTTTTGTACAAATACTTTTTTATATATTTGCTTTAATTTTGCTTTGAACTAAGGAAAATGTGTATTTTTGTCTGATTGTGGACTTTCTAATACTTTATTTAGGGTATATAAATATTCTTGCATATGTATTGCACTTCACCCGATCAAATGACAGTTTTTTGGAGGCGTTTTGTGTCTTGTTAATGCGCAAGTCAAAATTGTTGCATCCACTTTTCTAAGGAAGAAAGCTGTTCTGGTATCTTCTAAATCCCTATAATTAGCAATGAAGGAGTCTTCCTTTCATCCAGAGACATCACATTGAATATGTTCGTAAGAGACAGGTATTCTGTGTTTGTTAATTATTAATCAAACGCATCTCTCCAACAACCAATTTGTTGCTGAATTAAATAATATAATATATGCAGAGAAATGCTTTCACTAAACAGAATTGTATTTCATTGAAAGCTAAATTGCAAAACTATTCTCTCAGATAGCCAAGTTGTGACTACAGCTGAATTTTGCAAATTCTGTTTCAAATCACTACAATTTGGTGATTATTAAATATATCTCCTTGGGATATTTACTATGCTGGGAATTGACAGAACCAAACCAACATACTTAAAGTGGTTCTGTCAACTTCTGGGGCCTTTGCATATTTTGCAGAGACCCCTAGGGCTGACCTCTTCACTTGCAGTGTGATGGCCTGGGGGTGCAGGGAAAGGTGAGTTTTTCTTATCTGAAGATGTCCCTCACAGGTGCGCCATCACATCCGGTAGATCTTCTTCAGCTCCGGGAGCACCAACTGCCTAGAGCCCACATTAATGCTGTAGTCTTGTGCATGAGGGTACAACACTGATGTCTATGGAGGATCTAGCGAGACTGTACTTTGTTTTATATCTTCTGGTTGCATTGGTATTTTGGTGATTATTCCAAAATAGTAAATGTGAGCATTTTATAAAATGTTTATCTTTTATCTAATACACTTTTTTTTTATTTATTTTTTTATGGGGCGAGACAGTGACAGAGCCACTTTTAAAATGTAAAAAAATATCCAAACTGGAGAAAGAACATAATTTTTCCATCTTGACTATTTTGGCCTTGAATTGGAAATCCCCTGTTTAAGTCCCGAGAGTTAAAATACAGATACGCGAACAACCGCACACTCCAAAAAATATATATAGTTTTTAAAATTTACAAGGTTACTTAAAATCTCCTATCTTGGCAAACAAATATATCTTTGAAGGTGACCACTGGAAAGCATAAAGGTATTGCTGTTTCCCATGTCAAAATTGGTGTAGGACGGGAAGGTACGGAGTTCGAATCCCTATGCCTAGCCGACGCGCCACCCCCGAGAGCGATATCCCAAATTTACACCTCGCTGGCAACCGGATGGTACCTCCTGGCACCACCGTGCCTCCGGAGATGGGACGAGGACCTCGAGGAAGCACTCACGGACACATACTGGGATAAAATCATCACACTCACCCAGAAGACTCCAGGTTCAGTGAGGCTCCAAGAAAATTCATATAAAATTCTCACAAGATGGTACATCACCCCCGCGGACCTCCATGCCTGGGACAGCGCGAGACCGGACGCTTGCTGGAGATGCAGAGAGGAGGTTGGGACATTTCTCCACATATGGTGGGACTGTTCCCTCATTCTACCTTTCTGGGAAACAGTAGGGCGAGTGATCAACGAAATTGCAGACGAAAACCTCCCAATGACGCCAGCCCCCTTCCTGCTACACCACACGACAATGCCCACGCCGGCGTATAAACGCTCAGTAATACCGAGGCTTCTAAATGCAGCAAAAGCTACACTCCCCATCTTCTGGAAGCAACCACGCACCCCCCCCCCCCTCAGACATTGGGTGGAGAAGGTGGAGGACACCAGGAAATTTGAGGACCTAAAGGCAAAAGAAAAATACACTGGCTGAGAGACACCGCTTCAGATGACTTTGTGTCACTCCTGAACGCACCCGGACACGGAAAGGAGCAGGCTGGTGGAGAAGTGACCAACCGGGGCGCTGGTGGGGTGGGACTAACCAGGGCGGAGCTGGGGAAGTGGATGTCGACCAGACAGTATGTTGTATGTATGTTGCTGTATGGCAATGCAATACCTGGCTTCTGCGAAGGCACATGCGAGCTCACCATAAAATTGCCGTGATAAGCCTCTGCGTAGGCTACATTGCAACAACTTGCACCCTTGCTATGTTCTGGCTAGACTGTTACCAACTAAATAAAAACCTATTTAAAACAAAATTGGTGTAGGACCCGCCAATATTGGCATACTGTGACATAGTGGTGGGCTTAAAATAATATGGCCATATAGTGGAACTGAATCCTCATATTTCTTTGCTGATTTTAAGTAGCCTTGTAAATGTTACTGTATTTTAGATATTTATGTGTGTGTGTGTGCTGTTTCTTAGTCTGTATTTGTTTTTGTCTGTTCATTTAGTTTATTACAAGGCATGTCTTCTTGGCTGCTCACTGTTGTAGTGTACCTCCCCGTCCAGCCCCCACCCATGCCCCGCTAGTGCATTAGTTACCCTGTTTACCTCAGTTCTTTGTTATATATAAATAACCTGGTTGCCAATTTTTATCAGGTCTTAGTCTGTATTTTGTATATATTTGCAGTCATTGCAGGAGCACCACTGCTTAGAAATACATGTTCCGGGTGTGCCCCCAATTCCCCTTCTTTTTCTAATTCCTGAGAGTTCCAGGTTTAGTGGATGGAATGAATGAATATTGATACAGTTGTTACTACTTAGTAGTATAGTTTTTAAAATTATTACTGTTTTGTATTTTATTTAACTTTTTATGTTTTCTTTTACACCA